GTATATTTGGCTCAACATACTGCTGTGGAGCAGGATTATCCACCATGAAAATAATCAAAAAATACAAATATTTTTATCCAAATGAGAACCTTCATATGTGCTCGACAATCAAACCCAGGTTTAAAGCCTTGAAGGTCAGCCTAAAGCCCACTTCTCTAGTTAAGCCAAAAAAAAAAAAAACTCCGTTCAGGAACCGAGTCAGGAAGTTGTCTATATACCAAACTGAAAGATTGTTGTTCTCTACTTTAAAAACAATTTAGATTTTAAAATGAAAATAAGGTTCTATTTATTATATTGTTACTTAAAAATATATGCATAACCACCTGCATTTTATTTCAGAGTTAAATTCTATTTATAGTAACAGATTATAATTAAAAATGTCCATGGACCTTTACTGGTTGATTATTTTCTTTATTCGTACCCCATTGATTTTTATTTGGTAACCGAAGACTTTTTTGCAGTTTGAAAGCATTATAATTTAAATACACCTTGCTTATTTCAAACACAAACAAATTTGGAGTTTTGGTGACTAGGGTCACTGCTTTTTTGAGGTATAAATGTACATTTAAGGACATGTGTAAACCCTCAATAAGTGGCTGTTGCTTTACAGTTTGTCCAACAAGTATAAAATATAATTATTTTAAAGAATAAGACCGTTTTAGTTTTTTTCTACATAAAATCAAAATAAAATCTCGCAACAAAAATTGATGTTTCTCTGTCTGAAACAATTTACTTTTTGGAGGAATATCGAAAGCGTGTAAATGAACGACATTCACGTTCAGATTTATGTGCAATGGTAGACACAAATAAAGAAGAGAATTCCGCAGATTTTAAAAAAAACGGCATTTCAGGGGAACAGACGGGATTTATAAGACCTCATATTACGTAACCTACCCACGTGCGGCAGGGCTGGACAGTCTGAGAAGAGTCGATAAGAGGAGGTGGAAAGTTTACATATGAGCCGAAGGGTACAAAAAGTACGACACCCTCCTAAGCTATCATCATACTATTAATCACACCACTAATATAACATTTATTTACATAAACTAAAAGATGATTTACGTATATCGTTGATAGTTTTTGTAATAACTTCCAAACACCGCATTTAAGTATCACTCTATCGAAACCAGTCAACCCGCCTAACGGCCTGACCCAGACAGTTAGCATGCTAACCAAACGCAGACGTAATACCAACACATAACACTGAGCCTCGAAGTAGAAACGTTAAAATGTCAATAACCGTTACACTTGAAAAATAACGGATATACAGAGGAAAGAATAACATTCAACTTAATTATGTAAAACCCCCCCCCACGCTACAGTAACGGGAGGGCCCCACAAAACGGTTAGCTCCAAAGTAAACTCGCTTAAAGGATACACGTTGAGCCTCTGACCCATGTCCTGGATCAGATTAGCCGCTTGTTGTCGATAGGAGAGCTCCCGGTCTGATTCCACTCCACATCGGCGTGACGGTGTGTTTTCTAGCTGTTCTCGGCTGAAAAACCATTTTGACGAGGAACCCCGGCATGCCGCCATTACTCTGGAACGTTCACCTCGGCATCAAGAAACCGGAAGTGACGTTGAGTCTGCCCGAAAACTAGTTTGAGGCAGTGCTGCCACCTACTGGCCAGAAACCGATCAGCATGCAACATTGCTCAATGATAAACTGTTGGAACTGCTTTTTGATGAAGTCACCCTCTGTTCTTTAGTATTGTGAAATTTGAAATCTTTAGTATTTTTTCTCACCCAAAGACATTTTACATGGAAAAACGCAATTACAGTGGGTTAGCACTAGTGTTGGGCCGATGCAATTTTTTGGCCCGATACCTGGCTGTGCAGTATTGGCCGATACCAATACCATACCGATACCATCTGTTTGAAATTGATGTGTGTGTGTATTAACTGTATACTACTTGTATGTAAAATTATTGCCATCATAGCTTTGTCAAGCTGCTGCCTACCTCTGTGAAGCAGAAAAAAGACTAATGTGAATCCAGTATAACTTTTTATTGCCTACCTGGATGGGGTGACAATAGTTCAATAAACTTTTGGCTCTGAAAACAGTACCTGTGCCCTATTTGTCAGTACTTGCCAATACCGATACCACCATTTTAGTGCACCTATACTGGTATCAGCATCAGTGCAACACTAGTTAGCACTATTGAACAGATGGTTACTGAGTTTAGACCTGCATAAGAAAAATTCCCTGATGTGATTTATGTTGATATTAACAATAAAATGAATTAAGGAATAGCATTTGACACATAATTAGGGTTAAAAACACATCTACATCGACATACAGTTCTCTCAAGGTTTGACGTACCAATATTTTAGGCTGATATAAGCATATTCTTCTTGTTTAGGCATCGGCTGATATGTAAATGCATTCTCTAGATCATTAATGCATTCAAAAGCCATGCCTAGAGACCAAATGAAGTGTATACATCTTTACTCCCTATCTTTGTCTATCAATGTTTTCCTGGACTTGTTTGTAAAACATAATTTTTTGTCTAAATTGAGACTGCAAAAATATTTACTACAATGTTAATTTCATTACCTAAATAGAAGAAGATAAAGGAATATGGGCTTCAAAAGTCTGCCCACCAAAATTTGCAGCACATATCATGGAGGGGGTTTAACCTTAAAGCATCAGAGTCTATTTGGAACCAGATTAAGAGCACCTAAATAACAGGGTTTTTTTTAAACCTGGATAAAATTAGGGCTGAACGATTTTGCCAATAATCAAAATTGCAATTATTTCTATTCAAACTTGGTTTTTAATATTTTTTTTATTATTATTTTGATTTTCCTTTGCATTAACCCCAAGCTTTTAGATGTTTCATTTCAGGCATTTCAGTTTTTGAAACCTTGCTTGCCCAGAGTCCATTGTTACAGGACTTTATCGTAACCATTGAGTGAAAAAGTTTTCTCTTCTACTTGAATTTGTGCAAGCTGCAACTCTCTCCACCTTTCTGAGAGGCAAAAAACTCACTTCAAGCTGTTAATCACCACCTAAAGGACTCGGGGGGAGATAAATTTAATGTCCTACTATAGTTAAATATAGTGTGAATAAAAATCAGTGCCTCTGCGATTTGAAAATTAGGTTTTTTTAGATTGCAATTATATTGCAAATGAAATTAATTGCCTAGCCCTAGATTCAATGTGCAGAATCCAAATCAATGGGTGAAACAACTTGGTTCTGTTTAAAGCAGATCACATCAGGTGTTAACACACCTTAAGATTCACTCTTATTTATGACACCCAAAATGTTTTTTTTTTTTTTTTTATATTTTTACTATAGCAATAAAGTTTTAGTGCATTTAAACCCGTATTTTAAAGAATCTCTGTTCATCGCTGAATATTCAGACAGACTTGATATCTAGGATTTTGAACAGCAGGTGGTTAAATGTATTCCAGATTGCTATCACGTAGCAACTTCATAGTCATTAGCTTTCTATGGTGTTCAGCAGTTTTGTTTTGTTTATATTTTTTTATGATTATACTGAATATAAGCAAATATTCTTACAAATTTGAAATGCCAATTAAACCCTAAAAATGTAGTTATTTTACCCGAGATGCCTCTGAGACTGTGCTGCCACACATAAAGGTACATAAATTACAAAAAGACTAGTTCAAGTAGAACAATATGTAATTTCAAGTTTTTCATTTGTCCTCAAAAACTAATAAAATGTAGTAAGATTTTCAAGTGCTTTGTGGCTTTTTCATACTTTATTCAAATATACCAACTGCTTCAAATCAGAGTTTATTAAATGAAAAGCTTAATGCTGTTTCACTTTATCATTTGCTTCCTAAAAAGTAAAATAAACCAATTTGTAACATTGCAAGAAGCTCCTCCAGAGTAACACAGCACACTATTAAAAAAAACCTCAAAACAAGTGTTCAAGAGAAAAAAAAATCTACATACACTATATAATGTTCAAGTGTCCATTTGTTGAAGAAAATGTGAAAAGTATGAAGGAAAGAACCTTGACAATCCCATGTCCATCAAACAAATCACTAATTACTGTTGATATTTAATAAAATCTTCATAATGGAATTTAGAAAAAGATTTATTTTATTTTACTTACAGTAGATATGTACGTTTTGTGGATAATTCAGAAATAGCATAGGTATTAATTTATAAGTGCAGTATATTTCAGAGTAGAGCTTTTCTGGGGAAAACAATAGGCCAGATGCAATAAGTAACATTATAATATTTTCCCAGCAGAAACTTAAAAATAAGGAGCATTTGAAAACATATACCCCCCAAAAATTAATAAATAATAAAGCAGAATCGCATCTGATGCGAGGGAAAAAAAATCTCTTATCATCTATAATAATTCTTTTGGTAAGCAAAAATTAACAAAAAATTAGCAAGGTTTATCCTGGGAAAGTCTCTCTTTTAATGCAGGTTACGCCAAAGAAACATACAAAACAACAAAAAATTAGTGGATGTTTCAGAAGAGCAAATTACCCTAGTTCTTGTTTTTAGAAATATTGTCTATGTTGGACAATCCTTACATGAAATAAAAGGGTTTTTTATATATCTGATATAAATCGTTAGCATCTGGATCTGATGCTGTCGTGCATCCTGTTACACAAACTGTTCTTTTTTCAGGCCCAAAAATTCCAGTGCATTTCCAGCAAGCAGCTTCTCCTGCAAAGCAAAGAGAAATTAATGCACAGCATGATAGAAAATCTTTTTTTCTATGCTTATAAGTACTCCCTGCTTAATTATTGTTTTAATATATTGAAAAATATATTAGCACTGATTTTTTTTTAATTTTTTTTTATCTCATATCAGTGGACTAATTACATTTAATTGGTGAAAAATGCTCCATAGATGAAAGGATCATTACCTTCAGTGCTTCATCAAACTCATCCATAGATTCAATGAGTGACCCAGGTTGCAGCTCGCCGAGTGGGAATGGATAATCTGTTCCTAGCATTACTTTATCCTGGAAAACCAGTACAATCAGTTTATTTTAGAACACAGTAACAGGCACATGTGCAATACTTAAAAGTGTATGCCATCAAGGTAAGGAAAACTTTTGAACATTCATAGAACTGCCTGACAGATTTTATGGAGGCAGGTAAAGACACCATCCTTACACTATCACCATCTGAAACAAGCGTTCACCAGAACATCTGATGGACAATTTCAACAAATTGGTTGATTTGGGTCATTTTCCTTAGTTAATTAATATAAAACACTAACAAAAACTTAACAGATGGTAATCTTTATGCGTATGCTACACAGAAAAAAAATAATGCATCCGCTTTTGGCATTTAATTAATCATATATAGTTATGTTTAACATGAAAAATTTATGTTAATTGTGTTACTAAATATGATAAAGTAAATGCCAAAAGCAGTTGCATTATTTTTTTCAGCGTATCTCATGGTTCTGACCCCAAATCTACACCAAGGTTTTTCATATGCATTGAATTAGTGAATGTTATAACTGGAGGCTGACATCTAACCTAAGGTTAGAAGTCAACCCAGGGTTCACTGGAACAGAAAAAAAAAAAAAAAATCTGTCTTTTCTGCACGAAGCTGAGGAAAATTCTAGACAAGCTGTACATTGATATTATGAACTGTGCGTTCATAATATCAATGTTTGATTAAAACTGATCTGAATAGAGTGCCTTGAGGTACCCCAACATGTGATCTTTGTTCGCTCAGATTAAAAAC